CACTGCCTCTCTACCATCAGAAGCCTCCTACACATCAAATCAAAATTACAAGGAAACCCAAAGCTTGTCACAAAAATAGAGATACATTTACAAATCTCAAAAACCCTAAAGTTGTACTCAATTTTGATATAGGGAAAGAATGGATGAGAAACTTAGTTTAGAGTGTGCAATTCGGGGAAATTGGAAGGCAACAAGAAGGATGAAATCAATCCAAATCCTTGTCTCTTGAATGAAATTAGCCCATGAATATAGAAGAAATGAAGAGGATTAGGAAGAAATTAGTCGAAATCAACACAAACTCACCTACTAACCTCCTGTTGTTGATGGATTAGAATCAAGGAAATGAATTTTGCAATTAGGTTCGAATGTGTTTTTGAGTTTTAGCAAAATCAATTTCAAATTTGGGAGATTTGGGAGAAGAATGGAAATACTTAAGTTTATCGAGGTAGGGAAACTCGGAATTTAGGGAGGGAAAATTGGGAATATGTGAAGGGAAGTGAAAATGTATACCAATGGCTAAAATAAAAAAGAAAAAAAATTATGTTTAAGAAATAGTGAATTATATAGACAAAACAAGCTAATCTGTCTATATAGATAGACTTATATAAACGGATGATGATTATCTTTAGAATAGATATCCTCTATACAAACGAGTAATCAACAAACAGTTTATATAAACTTAGTCTATACTAATAAATATATATTTTTTTGTTGGTATAGATCAGTGTATACTAATTGCTTACGTTTTCTATTGGTATATATGGTTTTTACAAACAAATTTGTATCCGTTAGTATAGACTGTCGTTGGTAAAGGGCATTTTGCTTGTAGTGACTTATAGTCTATTTTATGATAAGTTGTCTCTTAAAGCCAAAAAAATCATCCATAAGTTGGGAAATAGTAAAATATAGGAATTATTTGAATACCAAGAAAAAGATTAGCATAAATAGGAGAATTACAATGGAGAAAATGAAAATAAAATTTTGTGATAATTTAGTTTGATAACTTCCTTTTCAAGTTAAGTCTACTAGACATCTTGACTAAAAAGCATGAAATGCCATAAAATTGAAACCTAATCTTTCTCCTAACCTTATATTGTAATGGTGCTTTATCCTTTTTCATTTAGGGCTTGCTTAGTTAAAGGTCAATTTTACTAGGTTAGTTTTAAGTTTTGTAGTGGAGTTTTGTAAGAAGTTTATTGGGTTGTTAACCTTTTTTAGTGTTTGATAAGAAGTTGATATAAGGAAAGTTAGTTGAAAAATTGTTGAGTAACTTCTACATCAATAAAGTTGGGGGAAACTTTTTCTTTTTGAAATGTACAAGAAAAAATGTTTACATATTGAGAATTATGTTAGGAAAATAAAGCCTAAAAACTCCATTTTCTTTTTATTGTAGTATTAATGTGTGAAGGTATATAAATAACCTTGTAAGGGAGAAAGTTTAGAAGAGTTTAAGGAGAAAGTTTTCTTCCAACCAAACTGCCCTTTAGTTCATTTTTGTTATTGTGAGATCTTCTAGGTTATGTTTGGGAACTTGAATTTGTATTTGAAAGATGTATTTTAAATATATGTATTTAAAATACATATAATTTAAAATATATGTATTTTAAATTTATTCTTTGGATTAATATAATAAAAATGAATTTGATATTCAAGTTGTTGATTGAGGCATTTTTACACTTCCAAGGCATTTTTATCATCTTCTCCACCTCCCACTCTTCCTCACCTCCCACTTTTCCTCTACCCCTTTAATGGCTTTTTGTTACAAACTTTCAACGAGACTCACCTTCTTATCTACACCCAATGTTGGTCCATCCACAAGTGTTTAATGTTCCCTTGCTAGGACACTTTAGCTGCATGTGTCTGTTGCTCTGCTTTGCTCAATATGCCTTAGGAGTTGTCTATTATGATGGCTGATCATGTGGGTTGTTGTGCGCCCATTGCTGGAGCAGCGGAAGGGTGGGTGGGGTGAAATCATCCACTGTTGAGCTCCATCAAAATTAGGAGAATTGAAATACTTGAATCTAAATTCGAAATACATAGGGTTAGAAAAGGATTTGAAATACATGGATTTTAAAGTAATGAAATACACAAACCTAATTACATGTATTTGGGTTAAATTCAATTACATTCTTATTTTGTGAAAACAAATTGTGATATTGAATTTAAAATGGCCAAATTCAAATACACTCTCCAAATATCATGTTCCCAAACATACCATAAGAGAACTTTAAGGGTTTCATGTTTGAATGAAATAAGATTTGTTCCAAATTGAAGTTATCACAAAAGGGAAAGCTTTCCTATTTGAATATAGAAAGAGAAATCGAATTTGGTGTATTGGGATTGATGTGGTTACAAAACTCATTCCTTTGGTAGAGAGTTGTTTTTTATTGGGTTCTTATTTCTATTGCATGAATTTTTGATTCTTTGAGGTTTTTCACTAATCTCTGGGCATAAATATAGGAATGGATTGCTATATTTGGCAAAAATTTTGATGGATAGTTGATGTATTTTGTTTGGATTCCTTATGGAAACAATAGAAATTAGAGATTAGGTTGATTTGCAATCTTTTGCAAATAAATAATTTTCTAAACTTCTAGTTCATTTTGACCTATTTGAGAGTCTAAATGAGATATAGATAATGCATCCTAAGTCAATTCTTGTGTTTTTAACTTTTGTTCCTCACCCCCTGGAATTAGTTTTCATCAAAATGACAATCAATAAATCTAGTTGTGAAAGGTCACTATTCATTGGTTCAAGATATTCAAAATTATTGATGATGATTCAAAACCAATGCAAATTCCTAGTTTCTTTGGGGATCTATTTTAGTGCACTACGTAAAAGCAATAGGAACATATACATCACAACCAAAGATATTTAAATGTGATATATTTGGCTCAATCCCAAAAACAAGCTATAACGGTAAATGCAAAATGATAAGTAGTTGGTCTAAATTGAATTAATTCTACAACATGCAATATAAAATAACCCTAAGTAGAAAAGGGTAACTTTGATCTTATAAGTAGTAGTCTTGCAATACATTACAAACACTTAATAAGAGATTCAGTTAAACCATTTTGTGTATGTATATGAGGAAATGGATGCTCAACAATAATCTTTATTCACATACAATAATCATTAAATGATTAGGATGTAAATTCTCTTGCACGATTAAGTTAGATCCTTTTTATTATACAATCAGGCAACTGTGCCCTCACTTTTATTATTTGTTCAAAAAACCTTACAAACGCAATATTTTGTATAGCTAATAGGCAAACATGTGATCATCTTGTTGAATCATCTATTAACACAACAAAATATCAAAATAGGCCAAAATGCAGATTTATTGGCTGACAAATAACCTTGGATCCATTACAAAACATGAAGTAGAGTCATTTTCTGTTTCAGTTGTAGAAGTCATGGTAATTAATTTACCAAGGAAGTAGGCACCGCACGAAAAATCACTTGATAATAGAAGTTTTAGGTTCTTTAATGGGCTTCATGTGAACTTTCTATAATTCTCTACATCATAATACCACCCAAATGACCAAGTTGATTATGCCAAAAGATAAAGGCTTCTACATTGACTAATTTCTAGTTAATCATAGCATTGGATTCTATTAGATGTATATATATAATAAAAGCTAGAAGAGATGGTTAACATTTTCTCTAATATTTTTCTTTTTCCCAAATGTAAGAGTTGTGACATGGAGGAATTTTATTCCATTGTTATCCATGGTTTCAATATGAAAACCATTTCGATGTATATCCTTAAAACTTAGTAGATTTCAATTTGATCTACTAGAATATAGAGTGTCATGTATTAATAATTATAATATCCCAAAATTTTCCAAAACCTTAAGATTTAAGTTAAGGACTTATGTCGAAGTTGTAAGCGTTGGCACATGTTGTCATGTATACTTGTAGAACTAGTTCATTTTGTATTCCTGTTATTCTTGCCAGTGGGATTAGTACACTAGTTATTACTGATGCTTGCTAGTGGGAGTTTGGTAAACACTGGCCATGACTAAATGAGGAGACCATTATTGACTTTTATTTTGCCTTAATGGTTTATAACTGAGATGTTCCTTTGGTTTATGTTTTAAATTGTTTATTCGACATGCTTTAACTTTAAATGAGGGTTACTCATATGTTTACTTACTGAGTTATTTCACATAGCTTTTCCTTGTCCACCATTTCAGGTAGGGAGGCTAGAGATGGGGGAAACCAAGGGGGTGTGACGATCTTGAAGGCTAGCTATTTGTATTTTGGATTTAGATTATCGTGGAGTTAGACTGCCAGTCACATATATTTTTGGACATGGATGATGGAAGATAGATAATTTTTATAGACTATATCCCCTTGAGATAGTCTTGACTTTATTGATGGAGTTGTAAAATTTTTGTACACTTTTGGCCTAGTCAAATACTGATTATAAAGTTGGATTTTATTTTAAGATCGTGGATTTAAGTTTATGTAGATTGTTAGTTATGAATTTAGCAAGTTTCGAGCCTTGTGCATGTGTGGGATCCTCTCACAAGTGTACAACATCTATTTCACTCTTGGTTTTGGGGCGTGACAAATTTTGTGGTATCAGAGCGTAGGTTTAATTAAATGCCTAGAACTAGTTTAAAAACTTAGCTAGCAAATGAACTATAAGAACATGGTGAGGAATGAGAGTGGGCTTAATCAGGGATGCTTGTTGGATTCTTTCTTGGATAGACTCTTGACTTGTGAGAAATTTTCCTTACTCTTAGATCATGATGTTCTTCATGTATAAAAATTTTTATTGTTATTATTGAGACTTGTTACTTGATTATGACTTGTGAATGGTGTGCTCCTTAAGTTCTATGCAGTGTTATAATGAGTTAGAATAATTGTTCTTGTATGTTGGGTTAGAAGTTCCAATCAAAGTAGTGGATTTGTTGATGATTGTGTTACTTGGTTGGATATGGGAAATTGTCTTGTATTTTCTTATTTGGGATACTTGATTAATTGTTTGTAAACCTTCTATGTGTTTATAAATGGCTCCAAAATGCCATAGGGGCACGAGGGGTGGCCGTGAGGATGATAACACTCCTCCAATTCCGGCCTGTAATCCCTTTGCCCAGGCTGCTCCTCAAGAGGGAGGGGCAAAAAACCCTTAGATGACCATGTTTGTTCATGAATTCATGGCGAAGGTGAGACGGCAAGCATCTTCTGCCACAAGTATGCCACCTCCATCCCCAGTGCTTTCCACTCCTACAGCTCCTGTTCTTATTTCTTCTACTCCTGCTCCTATTTCTTCTACTCGTATTGCACCTAGCTAGAAGATCTATATAGAATTCTAGAAGGTGGTGACTAAGAGATTTGATAGTGTAGTGGGTTTTGAACAGGTTGGGTCATGGATTACCGAGGTGGAGAAGGGATTCCGCTTATTGAAATTTTCTGATGACCTGATGAGAACTCCAAAGAGAATAATGAGACCCATAGTATGACAAGGGATTTCTAAACTCCATGAAAGCCAAATCAGGTTTATAATAGGACCTTAACCCATTTTTTATGTCGCAACAAGAACCAAAGGTAAAAACCTTGACCCGTTGTCTATGACGCAACAAGAACCAGAGGTATAAAGTTGATTGACGCCACATCCTTGAACGATTAAGAATGAGAATGATAAGTTAGGTTACAATGCCACAAGAATAATCTTAATAAGTTTTGTAAAGTTCTGAAACGAACCAAAGAGAAAAGTCTCTCAAAAACTCAGATTCAACATAAACCTGCCTTGGACTCAATGGTGAAAGAGTAATTGTTTTTCCCTCCGTGACAAATGAATAGCGATCTTTGAAGCCATCATGTGTTACCCTCCTATCATATTGCCATGGTCTCCCTAAAAGTAAATGTCTAGCATGCATAGGAATCACATCACAAAGTACCTCAATTCTTATATCGTCCAATAGAGAATGAAACCAGAACTTGCTTATTTACCTCGATTTCTCCACAATCGTTTAACCATTGCAGCTTATATGGCCTTGGATGCTTTGTCATAGGTAAATTAAGTTTTTCAACTAAAATAGTGCTAGTTACATTAGTACAACTACCACCATCAATAATCACACTACATACCTTGTTTTTGACATGGCACCTTGTGTGAAATATATTGTCACGTTGTACTTCATCATCTTCTTTGGCTTGCACATTCAAAGCTCGCCTGGTGACGAGAAGTTCTCTATCAACGGCATCTTCCACACCATCATTAGCATCTTCTGATGGTGGCATAGATTCATCATTGGATTCACCCTCGGTTTCAATTTCTTCATCTTCTCTCAAGATCATCGTGTGCTTATTAGGACATTGCGATGCAACATGCCCCCATCCCAAGCATCGAAAACACTTGATGTCTCGGTTTCTGCCTTACGTATTACCTGTTTTACTCTTCTCATTGCTGCCAACTTCTTTTGAGTTAGATGCTATAGTTTTAGGCTTAAAGGTAGAATTTTCTTCCTTTTTACTCCAATTCAGTTTCTGAGAAGATGAGGAAACTGAATTTTGTCCAGTTCTGCTGGTGGTTTCTTTACGCTTGAGTTGCCGTTCTACTTTCATCACCATATGCACCATATCTTCTAATTTCACATAATGCTACAACTCTACCACATTAGCTATAGCACAATTTAAGCCATGCAAAAATCGTGCCATAGTTGCTTCGCTATCCTCTTTCACATTCGCTCTAACCATTACGATTTCCATCTCTTTGTGATAATCCTCAACACTTTTGGACCTTTGACTAAGGGCCTGCAATCGCTGATAGAGATCATGGTAGTAGTGACTAGGAACAAATCGTTTTCTCATCACAGTTTTCATCTTTTCCCAAGTGTCAATAGGATGCTCTTGATTTTTATGTCGACTAAGCACAAGCTGATCCCACCAATGTTGCAGCTCTACCACATTAGCTATAGCACGATTTAAGCCATGCACAAACCGTGCCATAGTTGCTTCTCTATCCTTTTCCACATTCGCTCTAACTATTACGATTTCCATCTCTTTGTGATAATCCTCAACACTTTTGGACCCTTGACTAAGGGCCTGCAATCGTTGATAGAGATCACGGTAGTAGTGACTAGGAACAAATCGTTTTCTCATCACAGTTTTCATCTTTTCCCAAGTGTCAATAGGATGCTCTCGATTTTTACGTCGACTAAGCACAAGCTGATCCCACCACACCATAGCTTAATCAGTAAATTCCATCGCTGCTAGTTTCACCTTTTTCTCCTCAGAATAGTTATGGCAATCAAACACCAATTCCACCTTCTTTTCCCACTCCAAATACACATCTGGATCATTTTTGCCTTGAAATGGAGGAATCTTCATCTTGATGCTACATAAGTCATGATCTTGCCGATCTCCCCACCTCGTAAGATTTTGCTCTCTTTGGCTCCCTCTACCTCTCATAATTTTGTCCATGCTGAAATTTGAGTTCTGGGCGTCATTGTTGAGTGCATCTTCATAATCGTCATTGAAATTGTCATTAGCATCATTCCTACGCAAATTCGGACTTCCATCATGTGTTTGGTATAACTTGGCTATTGCTGCATCTTGCTTGTCCATTTTGTCTTTAATCTCACCAAACATGATGTTCAGCCTCTGAAATTGTTGTTGCATTGCTTTGAGCATGAAAGATTCATCCACATGGTGGCTTTTATGGTTAATTTGTCAACACCGCTTGACATAATTGAAACCTGCAATGAATGTTAGAAACAGAAGAATAAAAGGACCTCACAACACTCCCTTACGTGTTTCACTCCACTCTCTCACAGAATGGCACTCAACGCTTGTGTTTTACACACTGTAGAACTTGGCTTTTCTCTCAGGTATTGCTTACACCTCTTGCCTTTTCCCCTCACTTAACTTTCCTTTTTCAGTTCGCTATTGAACTAAACAAGCTCAATTCAAGTTATTTTGCAGCAATCTAACTCCAACAAATCTACGAGAGTTAAAGGAAACAGAAAGACACAAAGGAATTAACAAGAAAAGCAATAAAAGAACCAAACCCAAACAAATTAAAACGAACAGATTAGTTCAAGCACTTCCTAGTAGGAATTGACTTGACTATTCCTTAATGCAGTAGGATTTCTAACTTAGGAAGGAATAAACAAAATTACTATCTCCTTGTTTAAATAGAACTCAAAGAGAATGTTCAACTTCTTATTGGAGTAGGATTCCTTTTTCTTTAAGGATTTGACAACAGATTTCTTCTCTATATAAGGAATTCCAACCACAGAATTGTGTTGCTTGTTTCTTTCCTTTTTTTTTTTTTGGTGATCCTTTTCCCTTTTCTTTTTTGTACGACTTTTTCCCTTTTTTTTTTCTTATTTTCACACTTTCTCTCTCTCTCTCTCTCTCTCTCTCTTTTTGTTTTTGAAGATAAAAACTGAAAATTAAAGATACGCAAACCTGATTTAGGGATCTGATGCTCTAATACCAAAATGATGAGAACCCCAAAGAGAACAATGAGACCCACAACACGACAGGAGATTTCTAAACTCTAGGAAAGCCAAATAAGGTTTATAATAGGACCTTAACCCATTGTTTATGTCGCAACAAGAACCAAAGGTAAAAACCTTGACCTGTTGTTTATGACGCAACAAGAACCAGAGGTATAAAGTTGGTTAACGCCACACCCTTGAACAATTAAGAATGATAATGATAAGTCAAGTTAGAACGCCACAAGAATAATCTTGATAAGTTCTATAAAGTTCTGAAACGAACCAAATAGAAAAGTCTCTCAAAAACTCAGATTCAATACCTCCCCCAATTAGGGTTACAAGCCCTTTAAATAAGGAAAAGTAATTCTAATCAGAATAGGAAACTAACACCCTAAGCCATAATCCTAATAACCATAAATTGGGCCTCAAATAAATGAATATTCAGCCCAAATAATACAAAAAACATGAAAATCACTGAAAGTAACTTAAAGTAAAATAAAATATTAGTTTGTTACAAATTACGACAGAATTGCGAGATTTTATGCAAATTGTGTAATTTAGTATAAATGACCTCAATTACACTTCTCTTGAACCTGAATGATGTTTACGATGCCTTGATAATCATCCAAGCTTTGATTTACTTGTTGCATGTTGTTATCAACCCAGATTTACTTAATAAGGCCATTTAAAGCTTCTTGCATCTTCCTAGCTCTAGCTCTCATGATTGGACCTCCTGGAATGTGTAATGGATCTCTTGATGTGATGCATGTGGGGTCATCTTGATTCCCATCATGACCTTAAGGTCGATGTGGGCAGTTATATACTTACAGGTGAAGTATTAACTTGGTGGGAAAAGTATTTGAAGCTACACCAAGGAGAGCCTGAATTGAGCATCTGGGATGGTTTTAAGAAGGTGTTCATGCAGGAATACATGCTTGATAGCAAAAGGTGTGAATTGTAAAGGGAATTTGCGATTTAAAGTAAGCGTCATGTACCATTAAGCATTACAAGAAAGAGTTTGATTGTTACTTGCCTTTTGTGGGTAGTTAGGTCGGGGATGAGCAGGCTAAGGTTGATAAATTCTTATGGGGCTTGAATCTTGATATTTACCTGACAATGAACCAATTCAAACCTGCCATTTATAAAGAGGCGACAGACAGAGCATAGATAAGGAGAAGGCTATGGCAAAAGTCAAGCCATTAGAGCAGCACAATGTTGGGTCATCTTTCAAGAAGAGAAAACTTGATAAGAACCGTAGACCCTTTGTCCTTGCACTGCCTAAGTTTGATACCAACAAGGTTTCTAAAATGCTAGGAGTTACCAAGACTGTGGGTCAGACATTAATAGCCCAATGTGCTCAACCTACTCAACCTATTTGCCACACTTGTGAGAAAGTTAGGCACATTCCCAACCAATGTCACATTATTTTTGGGGCTTGCTTTAGATGTGGCAAGCATGGACATCTGGCTGCAAATCGCCCACAACTAGACCCTAGAGCTCAAAGTACTCAAACTACATCTCAACATGGTTTTACTAATCAGGGGGTGTAAAAACAGAATGTTAGGGTTATGACAAGAGCCCAGCAGGTGAGAGTTCACGTGATGACTCGCAGGGAAGCTACGGCTATGGACGTAATCACAAGTACTTTACATTCTTTTATTGCTCAATTGTATGGTTGGAAATGAGCTTTACCTATTCATACTTCTTATCTTGAATTGCATCTGGCCACCTTTTTTGGAAGGGTGATGACTACTAGAGATGTGTGTATAGCTATAAATATTCATATTGATGGTAGACAGTTGATTGTTGACCTGTTTGTTTTATATATGTTTGATTTTGACATCATTTTGGGGATGACTTGGTTATTGAAATATTTTGCCTCTATAGATTGCCATCAGAAATGGGTAGTTTTCAATAATCCTAGTGAGCTAGAATTTAGTTTCTAGGGTAATGGTTCTTTTCCTCCACTTATGCTAATATCAGCCTTGCAAGCTCAAAAATACCTTATAAATGGTTGCAAGGGTTTCCTAGTTTCTGTCACTGATGCTCGTAGTGTGACATCGAGACTAGAAGATATGTCTGTGGTGTGTGGGTTTCCAGATGTATTTCTAGAGGATTTTCCAGGTTTACCGCCGGATAGGGAGATCAAATTTGCTATTGATCTTGTTCTTAGCACCAGACTTATTTCCAAAGCCCTATACCGTATAGCTTCTGCAGAATTGAAGGAGTTGAAGGTCTAGCTTGAGGAACTCCTTGAAAAGGGTTTATATGACTTAGTGTGTCACCTTGGGGAGCTTCAATGTTGTTTGTTAAGAAGAAGGATAGGGGCATGAGATTATGCATCGATTATCGAGAGCTAAATAAGGTGATTGTGAAGAATAGATATTCACTTCCTAGAATCAATGACTTCTTTGATCAGCTCAAGGGTGCTCAAGTATTTTCTAAGATTGATCCTCGATCTGGGTACCTCCAGTCGAAGATTAAATTTGATGATGTGCCAAAGACTATCTTTTGTACCCGCTATGGTCACTATGAATTTTTGGTTACACCTTTTGGCTTAACAAATGCCCTTGTGGGACTTATGGATTTGATGAATCAAGTATTTAGCAAGTACTTAGACAAGTTGGTGGTTGTCTTCATTCACGACATTTTGATCTACTTTTCTAAATATGCTTTTCATGAAGAGCACTTAAGGATAGTTCTTGAGACAATGAGAAGAAAAAGGTTGTTTACTAAATTTAAGAAGTGTGAATTTTGGCTAGATAATATTGCATTCCTAGGTCACATTGTGACTAAGGATGGAATTTCTGTTGACTCGAAAAAGATTGAGGTTGTAGTTGATTGGAAACGTCCGAATAGTGTTACAGAAATCCACAGCTTTCTAGGATTGGCTAGTTACTATTGTCAATTTGTGAAGGATTTTCTAGAATTGCTTTGCCAATAACTCGTCTTATTAGGAAGGACACCAAATAGGAGTGGAATCCAGAATGTGAGAAGAGCTTTTTGACCCTTAAGGACAACTTGGTCATGCTCCTATACTTGCACTTCCCATCAATGGGAAAGGATTCACTATATATAGTGATGCCTCAAAAAATGGTTTAGGATGTGTCTTGATGCAGAAAGATAGGGTTATTGCATATGCTTTATGGCAGTCAAAGCCTTATGAAGAAAGTTACCTTACTCATTATCTAGAGTTGGCAACTGTGGTATTTGCACTCAAGATCTGGAGACATTATCTATACAGTGAAACTTGTGAAATTTTCATTGATTACAAGAGTCTTAGGTACATCTTCACTCAAAAGTAGCTTAACATGAGGCAGAGGCAATGGCTTGAATTTTTGAAGGATTATGACTTGACCATTAGCTACCATCAAGGCAAAGCCAACAAAGTAGTAGATGCGTTGAGTAGGAAGTCTTCTGGCATTGCCTCTAGCATCTTTGCCACCCAAAAGGAGTTTCTTGAGGACCTTGCTAAACTTAATGTGGAGTTGAGATTGGACAATACTAAAGCTTATCTAGCCGCTCTTAGTGCACAACCAGCACTAATAAATAGAATTAAACTTGCCCAACAAAAAGATCCTTTCTTGCAAAGGTTGAAGGCAAAGGTAAAGGTACGGGAACCCCACATGCAAGAATTCAGATTTTTGGATGATGAGACCTTGTGGTTTGGTGACAAGTTGTGTGTACCAAGAGATCATGCCTTAAGGCGTGAGATCATGGACGATACCCATAATACTAGCTACATAGTTCACCCAGGTAGCACCAAGAGATATCGTGACATGTGTAGTACATTTTGGTGGTGGAACATGAAAAGGGAGATAGCTAGATTTGTTTCACAATGCTTGACTTGCCAGAAAGTTAAGGCTGAACACCAAAGACTTCTTGAGAAACTACAACCTTTGCCTATTCCACAATGGATGTAGGAGAACATTACCATGGACTTTGTAATGGATTTACGGCAAACTTTAAAAGGAAATGATTTGATTTGGATCATCGTTGATCGATTGACCAAGTCAGCTCACTTTTTACCTTACCGAATCGGCACATCCATTGAGAAGCTTGCCAATATGTACATGAATGAGATAATCAGACTTTATGGAGTCCCTATTGTTGTACCTATGATTTTGATGATTACAAAACACATTTGAGTGACTAATTGGTTTATTTAAGTGTGTAGTTAAATTGCTAAAAGATTGTAAGTAAACTTGGACTGCACTAAAAATAGACCAAAATGATTGAAAATGTGCAGAGAGTTGGTTCTTGAAACCTGCAGTCGGCTCTGCAAAATGGAAGTGTAGAAAGCTTGCTTAAAGAGATTGCAGCCTGTTGTGGAAGTGCAGAGAGCTGGCTCTGGAAGTTGCAGCAGGCTTTACGGGCAAAAATTTGAAGACCGTTGTTTGGCGTATAGAGAAAAGACGTAAAGCCGGCTCCAACTTTGCAGCCAGCTGTAAAGGCGCATTTAATACACAACGGTCGACTTATTTGAAGATTAATTAATCTTTTTAAAGTCAGAATACCAAAGCCGGCTTTACGTTTTGCAGCCGACTATCCAAGAAAACAGAATGTGCAGCAAACCCACAAAGCAGGCTTTGCGTTTTACTGCCGGCTCTACGGAGAAAATAGAATGTGCAGGATCCTGCAAAGCCGGCTATAGAAATGGTAAACCGGCTGTAAAGAGCCAGCTCTAGAAGCTTAAGCCGGCTGTGCTGAAAATTCTACAACTCAAATTAAGTGACCTGCAGAGCATTAAATGACCCCCAACGGCTAGTAACGGCTATTTTCGATCATGGGGTTATAAATATGGTTGGTAGAAGATCTGGAGCAAGTCTAGAGAGCATTGCATTGAATATCTTTACCTACCTACATGAACTTTAACTTGAGTTTTTGATCTTTGAGAGACCTTTACTTATAATCCTCTTCTTGTTCTATTTGTGAGTGATCTTGGGGGTGTGATTAATCCTTCAAGAGTGATTTATAGAGAGGATTCTTGGGGTTTATATGTAAAGGGATAAGGTTTGAGAGAAATACTCATCTTCTTGTAAAAGGATTGAGTGGCTCCTTTAAGCCATCCTTGTTTTCTCAGTGGAGAGTGTGGAGGAAATCCTTGTTTTCTCAGTGGAGCCTTTATAAAATCATTGAGCAAGCTCTTCTTCTCTACTCTCCTTAATTTTGGTGTTGTGGTTGCAAAAGGGGAGAATTTTTGGAACTCCAATTCACCACTTTCTTGGA